AAAAATTCAAGCTTTCTAATGTACAAGACAAATATTAATATATGATGCGTTTTGAACGAAACAGAAAAATATTTGATTTGTTTCTATGTTGAAATTTGCCCACGTATATTTATATCCTAAACAAGAAAGTAGTAAGAGTGCACTTTACAAATAAAGGTTTAAATACCGTACAAGTAATATAAAATATGTAACACATAAAAAAAGAAAAATTTATCTACATCAAGAAATAATTTAGTTGTACAATATAAAGTTATGATGTAAAAATAGAACTACACAGTATAACTATGACATAATAAAAAAAACTTAAATATAATTTTAGTTCTTTCGTTTTTTTTGACTGTTGATTTGTTGTGTCGATTCAGATGTACGTTTACGACTAGGAACAACAGCTGTGGTCGATTGTGAATTATTATCAATAATTTGACTTGATGATGATGATGACGTTGAACAGGAATTATTTCTATTCATTTCTTCAAGTTTCTGTGCCTTACACAAAAGATTAACATATTTACAGCCAGGTGATTTTAAATGACGATAAAAATTAGATGGTATTAATTTATTATGAAGTTTTCCTAATGTAATAACTGTTTTACATAGGCATTCAATTGATGCTTGGATGCCATTGGTACCTGTTTTTACGACTAATCTAAAATTATTACCTTCTTCTAATTTGAAATCTTTTAGATTCAAAAAATTTTCATTCAAAGATGACCAATCATCAATACATTTTAATAAATGATTTCGTTCATCATCAATGGTAAGAGTAGAATTAGAGTTAGCAGTTGATACAGCTGATGTTGCTGATGGAGTTGCAAATGAAGAATAATTGATTTGATGTTTCGATGCAATTCGTTGTCCTTCTTTAAATATACGATCACTTGCTATCTTCGAAATATCGAGTAAACATTTAATTTTTGTGCGATTAGCATTTTTGACGATTGAATTATTATTATCGATTTGTAAAAGTAATTCTTGACGTAAGAAATTATTTGTAACATCATTAATTTTTAAAAATAAATGTTCGAAAACATCTGTCGTTAGCAAAAGAATTGGCACAGAATTTACTTCTTGTGCTCGAAGTAAACTTGATAATGTTGAACCAAGTAAATATTCAATGAGAGAGTAAAATTCATCATCAACTAATGTTAATGTTTCTAAGGGTAATTTCCAAGGATGAAAATATAATTCTTGCAATTTTGGCATATTAGAAAGAGACATGTTGTAGATAGTTGATAGAGTAATAATGGTGTATATTCAACGTTTAACAAGATAGAAATAACTAAGGAATTTTAAATAAAATAGATGTGGAAACGTGATAGAGAAAAGATAATCAAATCCAGGGATGTCTCATGGTCAAATATATACACTATGAAACATGGACGGAAGCAGTACAACTAGGAAGAAAAAGACACGATAGTTACATATATTTTTCTGAATATTCTTTTCGCTCCTTCTCTTCACGTTCAACTTATTAATTTCGCTATTGAATGTTCAAAATCAATAAGATAACCATGTGCTTCTACATTTCAAAAGCAACGATGTTTAACAAAATGAACACAAATGAATATCATGGCTAGACAAGTGAATTTTCTTCTTTTCAATCCAGACCACGTTTTATGTTCCGATAAAAATTAAATATAAAGCAAAAGATCATCTTATTTCTATTTTTATTAGTGAAAATCAATGTTATCTATCTTATTCAAATAAAGAGAAATACACTTTTGTTCATAATACTATAAGTATTAATATTTCGAGTTTAATCCAGATAGGTTCTAGTTGATCGTTACTCAAACTTATTTGTGTCAATGTGAACTTTATACATAAAAAATAATAGAAAATAAAAGTTGAAAGGCATTAATTGCCTTGTCTAGCATACCAACTTAATCTTTGCGAGATATATGATACAAATAGTGGCGTAACCAGGGGGGGGCCAGGGGGGGCTCAAGCCCCCCCACCGGCCTTTTGAGCCCCCCCACCCACAATTTGACTTTAAAAATTTTTTAATGTACTAGGATCATTCAGAATAGCCTTAAAGGTTGAATTATCGATGGTGTTAATGTAATATACACTCAGAGGTGCAGAATCTTCCGAAAAACTAAAAATTTCCCCCAAAAAATGCAGTTTTTCGAAAATTTCCCCAGAATTGTCTAAAACTTCCCCGAAAAATGCAGTTATTAAAAAATTTCCCCCTCCCCGGTGGGGGGGGGGTGCACGAGGAAGATTCAGCACCTCTGTTGGAAACTATCATATCATGATTCAAAGGAGACTATAATTGCTTTGGGGCTGAGCCCCCCCACCCGTGATTTTCTGGTTACGCCACTAGATACAAATATTAAAAATGTGAAAGTAACAATGAGAAACATATTTCATTTCTCTTAAACTGTTTTTTTTGTATATAAATCATGAATTCATTTTCTCATTCCAGATTTTGTTACACGTATCAAAAAAAATTAATTATTGAATTATGGCTGCAGTTGTCAGTATCAATGATACTTCTCGTTTACCAGAAAATGTTCTGGAATTAGAAGGAGAGGATTTCTATCGATTTACAAAAAGTATAAGTGGTGCTTTATTAACTGAAGTACTTAAAGTACAGAATATTGATTCAGTTTTTATATTTTTACAAACAAAAGATATTTTTGAAATATTCAAATATAATTCTATAACATTACGTGATTTGAAATCGAAAATAGGTTTCGATGTAGAAGATGGTGAATTTCAAGTTAAACATGGTTTAAAATTGCAATACGAATATTTATCAAAGCTATTGAAATTAAAATCAGATCAAAAATATATAACATCATCGCCTCTTACATATGAAAAGATCGACATATTACTTCAAAGATATCCATTTCTGCTTTCACTTCTTAATTTTCATGAGAATGAAAATATAATAAATGATCAACATGAATTTTTAACATTATTCGTAAATACTATAACTAAAAACTTATCTTCAGCTAATGCAAGTCGTTATAGATATGATAATAAAATAAAAAGTTTTGCTGTTTGTTTGTACATACTTGGAGGAAAAACGACGTATGAATATGTTAGGTTAAATCTGCCGGGAGCATTGCCAAATCTTACAACAATCAATAGTTTAATTCAAAATAATGATGATAATTTAACAGAGGGTGAATTTCGGTTTAATAAAATGGCAAAGTATTTAAATAGTTTCGGTGTTCGACATGCATATTGTGCCGAAGATTGTAAGTTTTTCATGAATAATATCGATTAGATTTTGATTGTCTTCTTGCAAACGATATTTTCTTTCTACAAGAAAAAAAATTTAAGAGTATATCTGAAATAAAATGATTCTTGTTTGTTCAATGATTAATAAATAAATCATGTCATGGAACATAAAACAAATTACAATCATATATTTTCTAAATCTTTAATAGCTTCTTTAGTCTACTTTAAATAGAAGTGCTTTTCATTGAGAAAATCAACTTTGTTTGATTGTTCAAATTCGAATTATATCTTTACTAAATGATATAGAAAAAATTTCTTTACTCATTTGTATTCTCTTGATAATAGCAACAATAGTGAATTAAAACTGTTTAAGGCAAACAAATAAGAAATAAAATTAATCTTTTTAAATATTCTAGGCACAGGTGTGGTCCGACGTATTAAATACGACACACATACAAATAGTTTTATAGGTTTTTCAACTCCTCTATATGGTGGTATACCATCACCAAGTCATTTCAAAACAGATTCAATAACTGAATTAAAGTTGTGGATGGATCAAACTGAAAAGGCTCCATTATTAAATATTCATTGTGTTCAACCTATTCCACCACCAAATCAAACAATAGCACCACCAAGTTTTGTTCTTGCTGGCTACGGCGTTAGTAGTAAATATACATCATTAGATATTCTTAGGCGATGGCTATTTATTCACAAGAATTCTATTGAAAAAAATGTGCGAATCCTTGGATTCTCAACTGGTAAATTCACGTCATTTTGAGAGATTGAAAATTTCATTCATACCTATTTGAAATCACCATTAAATAGTTCATTTAATTTTCGCTTCAAAACACTAAAAAAAATTAAAAAAATCAGTATTTTTTCAAAATTACATAGAAACAAAAGTTCTGATGAACGTGTAGTATTTTATCTTTATAAAAATAATTGAAAAAAAGATATCGTTCATTATAGAAGACTTTCTCATTAAAATATTGTGTTGATGAAATAGAAAACAAGATACATACTTTAAAATTTTTTTTCATAATACTTTAGACGCCGATAATAAATATTTCCGGGCGATGCGCCTGATGGCTGGTTTTTATGCAAGTTTATCGAATTTTGATATACATGTTGATTCTTGTATGTTTTCAATTCAAACTGGTAGTTGGTCTTGGTTTTTTTTACGACGTGATCAACTTTTTGTATTTATGCAAGACGCAACTCACTTGGTAACTAAACTAAGAAACAGGTTGCTGTCTGCAACAGCAGCCTTAAAAGTTGGTAATAAATATATAACAATGAACCACTTACAAGAATTACTTGATAATGTAGAATTGACTCGACTAGATCATGGATTGACACAAAGTGATCTAAAACCAACTGATCGACAAAATTTTCGTTCATGCTTGAGAATTACGTCTTGTGATGTTCTAAATTTAATAGCTCGTGACGATAATTCTAATGGAACTTACATGTATTTAAAATTGATAAAATTTATTATATCTTCGTATATAGAACCAACAACTTCAATTGAAGAACGTATGTTTAAGCTTCATTATTCAGGTTCTTTTTGAGATGCTCTTTAATTGAAACAACACAGTTGTCTTAAATAAAAGTAATCTTTTTGCTGCAAACTTGAGTCTTAACTAAGTATCAATCTAATTTTACTTTTTACTAAAAACAATATTATAGTTCGGGTAATTTCCTAAATATTAATATCAGTGGTACAGCTAACTTTTTTAGAAAACCATGCATATACAGAGCGTTGATCGACATGTTTTTTCTTGTTATGTAGGTTTGAAAGGTGCTTGGACTGCTGTTTTTCTTCTACGGTTGTGGTGGGTTTGGTTATTGCTTGTACGTTTGTCATCTTTACCATCATTTAGTACTAAATCTAAAAAGCATAATCGTGAACAACATTTTGTTACTCGCACCGCATTTTTTTCTACAGAACTAAATGCTCATTATTTGACCTATTTGATTCTTCTCGTACAACAAAAACAACTTCCTGCAGATGTATTAAATATTCATCTTTTTTCATCACAAACATGCGAGTCTACTTTTCGTAATACACGTTCACTTACTGGAGTTTTCTCTACAGTTATAAATTATACTGTAGAAGAGTTTTTACGACGTTCAAGAAAGCTTTCAATTTTAAATGGGTTTAAATCTCAAGAGAAATCAACATCATTACTAAAATTTCCCGTTCATCATAAACACATTTCACTTAATACAACAAGAAATAATCAAAATTTGATTGATATTAGCACGTTGAATGTGGAAAACGTGGTCATGCAAGCTTACCAATCAGCTGTTAGCATTATAGAAAATCTTAATATTTCGTCTGTAAGTTATCTATCATTTATATATGAGTTCTTCGATATGCTGCGCGATTCTTTTGTAACTTCGAATAAAAGTTTGATTCGCGTAGTCTAAAGAAGAAAAGAATGAAGAATTGTATTGATTGTAATTTTTTATGAATATTCTAGTTATTGAAGAAGCACAAACTGTTTGATATGAATGCGTTGAGTGAATATTTGCACAATCATCTAAGATCAAAATCAAAATTACATGATAACTTACCACTTTTTGAGAATGCCACTGATGATTCAGATTCAGAATTTGATCTCGATAGTGATGATGATGATGATGATGATAACAATTCAGTGTAAGTTACATATTAATTATGACATTAGATAAGGGTTTTGTTTTTTTTTCTATACATATTTTCGTAAAACTATTCTCATCATTACATGTAGCAAAATGCGAAGAAAATTACGAAAAATTAGTTCGAATTCGATGATCATACATCGTATCGCTCATTTTCTCATGAATTTTTTAGACACAGCAAATCAAGTGGTAGCGAAGGAGAAGATGATGATGATGATGATAGTATGGACAACGAACAATTAAAAACATTTAAAACAAGTTTTGGTGGATTAAATATCAAAGACAGTGTATCAGTTGAACAAGAGAAATCATATTTCAAGATTAAAATCAATGATACGAATAAGTTTTTACACAAGTCCACGGCTTGTTATCTATTTACAAAAGATAATAATAGGTTATCTGCTGATAGATTGTCACGAGTTATTCAAACATCAAAAAAATAATGGATCATTTCTTTTTCATTGCATAAACTTTTTCTTCAAATCAGATATATATGTATTTGTTGATAGTTCGTGTTATTTTTTCTCAATATTCATAGATTGAAAAACAATACAAAAAGAGTTAAGTCAAAAGCTTCGAGAACTTTAAGATAGATAATGATATCTTATGGCAACATAGTCTAGTAAATGACTTAAAACAGTTTCGTTCTATATATACAACGCAAAAAAAGAAGTATAAATCCATAAAATAATATACGACTTTGATTCCTTTTCCTGCGTGATCAACTCTAATCACTCCTAATCACTTCTAATCACTATTAATCACTATTAATCACTGCTAATCAACCCTAATCAATCTTAATCAACCCTAATCACTGATAATCACTATTAATCACTATTAATCACTATTAATCAAGTCTAATCAGATAATCAGCTGTTTCCCCCTTGAAATTTGGTCACTTTCTAATGAAATCAATAAATATTCTGTCAGTGACCATATCGAAATATCTCCATCTATTACATCTAAACTTGAGAATAGCTGTAGGTATAGGTATGGGTGTACGTTAGTCTTGAAGGTG